AGGAGACAGCTGATCGATGTTTCTAACTCTCTATCCCTCTTCATTCTTCTCTGTAAAAAATTAATAAAATATATATATTTTTTAAAATCCTAACCTCCAAGGGGATGGCATTAGGAGGTGGGGCCACTGGGAAGTTACTAGGTCATGGGGGCTCAGGCTTCATGAATGGGATTCATGTCCCTATAAAAGAATCCCAAGAAAGTCCCTCAGCCCTCTGCCATGTGAACTTACAGCTAGAAGGCCCTGTCCGTGAACCACAAAGCTGGCTCTCACTAGATGCCAACACTGCCAGGGCCTCGATCTTGGGCTTCCCAGCCTCCAGAACTGTGAGGAACGCATTTCTGTTATTTACCAGTTACCCAATCTGTAGTATTTTTTCTAGAGGCCCGAAGACACTGAGACTCCCAATCTGCTGTGATTTGTTACCGCAGCCACAGGAAAGGAGCCCCCAGTGCTATGGGTCCCCAGAACACGCTGTGAGGACAAAGCCTTGTAGAAGCAAAGCCACAGACAGGTGGTTGTCAACTCTGGCTACGCATTAACATCATCTGGGATGAGTTTGAAACAAACAGCAAAAAGCAAGCCCAGGTCCCACTGCTGGAAGCGTGAAGGCAGAACCTGTAAGGGTGGCGGCTAAGCATCACTCTGTACAGGCTCCTTGGATGAATCTGATCAGAAGGTGGGGAGGAGCTGTCTCATGAGAATAATCCCAAAATACAACTTTTCTTGTGTTCAAAGAAAACTCCTAAGCTCCCCAATAGGTGGACACACTAGTCTCCCCCCCCCCCCCCCCCCACGACCTAAAAAACCCCAAAAATGTGCGCGGTTTTCTGGGAGGGCCGGGGCAACACACCACGAGAAAATTACCGGGCTGGAGACTTAACACATTATTTCACGTAAACTGTGTTCAGATTTGCTGTCTCGGGCTTATGAAGAACGCCTCAGCCTTTCTTTCCACAGGTGGGAGCTATTGCCAGTACAGCCTGCACGAGGCCAGGAGGGTTAGAACTGGACCAGGCTTTGCTCCCTTCCCTCCAGGGCGAAAGCACAGCCGGGGGCGGAGGCCCCGCCCTGCAGATTGCCATTGACCCCGCCCCACTCCACTGTAAAAGCCCAGACCACGCCCACAATCCATAATGCACGTGACACCTTTTGAGTCTGGGGATTGTTGCGTCTGGTAGCCGCCCTCAAAAAGGCAAATTACTCCCTGGTCCTCGGGTTTCCCTCTGATGTGGGGAACATGAGGGCCTCTTACGAGCCGCTCAGGGCATCCTCCCGCCGCCGGGAGAGGCCCTTTTCTTGGGGCTTCCTTGGGATCCTAGTGCTGGCCCTAGAGCTCCTGCTACCCACATGCTCAGGTAGGGAAGGGAAAGGGTGTCAGCCCTGGAGGGAAACTAGCACGGGTAGGGGAGCTGGTCTACAGGAGCGGGGGGCAAAGGGAACTTTGCTTGGTGTGTGGGGGAGGAGGCTCAGGGCTTGGTGGACCAGGTGATGCGGGGTTAGGGTAGAAGCCTTAGCCACTGATCCTCCGGGTGGTGCTGTGGCGGATTCAGGAGGGTGGGACCTCAAAGGGCCCCAGGGTCGGTTGTTTGGTGGTTGGCAGTGAATCTTGGGGTGCCTTGGGTGTAGTCAGTGTTTGCCCCTAGCGAAAGCTTGCAGCTATTTGAGGACTGAGTTGATCAAGAACATACATGCATAACCCATGGACACAGACTGTAGTGTGGGGAAGGCCTGGAGTGGGGCGGGGGCTGCGTGGATGGGGGGAAGAGGGGGACATGTGTAATACTGTCAACAATTTAAAAAAACAAACAAAAACAAAACAAGATGGGAAGCCCTGAGCAGGTGTGAAGGTGCGGCCTGCTCCTCAGTGCCCAGTGTGTGGTGGTGGTGTTTGGGCCAGTGCTGGGCGCGTGGGAGGCTTTGCTCTGTGTTCCCTGGGCTCAGTGAAGCCTTGATGAGTGGGGTGCTGCGCCCCACTGGGTTGGGCTGGGGGAGCCCAGGCTGGGTGTTACCAGGCATATGCTTTACAGAAGGGTCCAGGCCAGAGGTGCAGGGTGTGGGGCAAGGAAGCTCTCTGCTTGCTTTGTATGGGGTTTGGGGAGTGCGTGTTACCCAGGGAGCCCTTAAGTGAGAGCAAGCTCCAGGGCCTGGGATCTAGAAGGATTGGGAAGGGCATGCAGTGCTTTTTGTACAAAAAGGTAACAGGCTGCTTGTTGCCCCCAATCATATAGGTATTGCTTCCCAGGCTGTTGCTTTTTTTAAAATTTATTTATTTATTTATTTATTTTTACCATTGAGTCACCTTCCTATTCCAATCCAATATGGATAATGACCGATGCTACTCCCGAATGTCTTTTGGTCAGTGTTTTTTCTCTTTTTTCATTAGGTTGGGTCCCATTTGAGGGGAGATTAGAAGCAACCTGAAAAGTACTGGTAGCCAAACCTAGTGAAAAATGAGAGTTATTAGAAATGAACAATAAATTATATCAATAGGTTTTTCTCCTATAGCTGATAAATTAAAGCTGAAGGCCATCCACTAAGTTTGGTTCCTGTTTCATTGAATACAATCAATATGTATATATATATATATATATATATATATATATATATATGCATATTACAAAACATACCATCGAAGGGCAACGAATGAATACTTTGGTGTATTTCCAACCGACTTTATATGCCTGTGTTTCTATGCCCAAGTGATTTTTAGGATCCTATTACATATACAGTTTGTATGCTGCATTCTCTCCTTAGGAGAATTTATTCAATAAAGATTTGCCTTGTATGTGCCAGATCCTGTGCTGGTTCTGGGGACACACTGGTGACCAATAACAAACCATTCCTATTTACATGATCCTTATTTCACTCTTTGTCTGTTTGCACACACACACACATGAACATTAACAGCGACCGTGTTTTGCTCACTGTTAGATCCCCAGTGCCAGGCGCACAGTAGCAATCAATAAAGATTTGCTGAAAGGTACTGGGACTGGCGGACAGTAACCAGACCACAATGCTAGTGTGATAACCCCAGTCAGGTGCCCTGGAGGAAGGAGCATGCTTCTCTGAGAGCATTTAACAAATGACTGTTGGGAGGGAAGGCTTTTCTGCTCAGAGGCTTTGGGGCTTCTGCGCTTGCTGTCCCCAGGCTCCTCCTTTCTCTTGCATAATTGGCTCCTTGTCCTTCAAACGTGGTTGTTATGTTACACCATTAGGGACCTTCTCTGAGAAAACTATTTCAGGGAGACTCACACACTCCAGCTCAAATTCCCCTAACCTTTTGTCCCTCTTCCCAATCTCTATGTTCTCTCCTAGCTCTACTAGAATGCAGAGATCCTTTCTGTCTCTTACACTGGTGTTTGCAAATGCTCAATGTTTTTGCCTTGGTACCACCACTCTCCTATAACTAGTGATTTCCAGAAAAATGAAATATAATATTCAGTAGGAGCTAACAGGCCAGTAAATATTCAAATCCAACAGAAAAACAAAAACTACCTTGAGGAAAATGAAAATAAAAAAAATAAAACTAAAACCTTACAAAAGGTATGGGATACAGCAAAAGCAGTTATAAGATGAAAGGCTATAGCTATACCGGCCTTCATCAGGAAAACAGCAAAAACTATGACTTCACTCATGGGGGATATAAGACAAAAAGCAACAAATGAAAAAAAGCAAACAACACAACTCAGTTACAGAGAACAAAATGGTGGTTACCAGAAGAGAAGTGGTGAAGAGGTTGAAGGGAGGTGAGGGAAAGAGACTAAACTTCACAGTTGAGTCTCCGGATGGCCTTTTACAACTTTGTACACCTGAAATTTACATAATGTTATTAACCAATATTACCCCATAAATTTAATTTAAAAAGTCACATAATTTTTGTGATTTGATAGAAATACAAATATATATTCTTAAAGTTTAACATCAATCTGACATAAGACCAATCCAGGGAATAAGAAAAGGGGTTTCTCAGGGATCAGCATAGACCTAGCTCCTTTCTTAGATCCTTAATCTTATAGGAGGGACCTCTGCATGCTTTTAGCCCTTCAGGACTTTACTTGATGTGTCTCCATCACATTATCTTACATACTAATTCTATCAGTTTTGTTAGTTTGTCAGGCCCACAGACAATTTAAAGGAAGAGAAATGGCTGAAGTCAAAAAGATACTATTCTAGGAAGAAAAAAAACTACCAAAAATCCAGAAATAAAAAATTCTAATGGCATAGCAATATTGTAATACAGTTTAAACAGCTACCTCAGAAAACTTTTGAGGCCAAGCATGATCCATTGATTAGAATTCCAGTGAAGGAAGAATAAATTATACTTAAAATAATGTCAAATTTATAAATTTTGACATTTAATTGACCTTTATTTACTCAGTTCACTGATATGAAACATATGACATGAGGTCATATTTTAAAATAGTTGAGTCCACATTTATTTTGATCTATGAAATACACGATGCTTATTTAAGAGTCAGCACTTACCATAGCATTTTTTGAGCATGCGGGGGGCACAGAGTATAGTAGGAAAAGAAGGCATATGGTCCCTGACCTCTAGGAACGTGCCTCCTGAGAGGAGACTGAACCTCAAGTGACAAGTCATCATCAGTTTGGGTTTCAAACTGTGGAAGAGTGCTCTGAACGAGGGCTATATACTATAGAAGTCCTCTTAGGGGGGAATTGAGTGTGAAATGAACTCAGGAAAAAATGGGAAGGATGCATATCTATAAATATATTTTAAACCAAAAATATTGCTGCTGTTTCTTCAATTTACTGTTGAAAGAATAGTCAGGTTATTCCCAAAGAAACCAAACACTAATAGGATGTTATTTAAAGCAAGCACAGCTCGTCATCTGGTAAAAGCCTGGCACAATCACTTACAATCTGCCCAAGGACCTTCCATTTATTCCATACAACCTGCCTGCTGCTAGACCATAACCCGTGGCTGGTGGAAAAGAAAATACTTGACTTTCATGTTCTTACTCTCTCATGCCCAGATGCCTGTGATGACCCACCAAGATACCAATCTATGAAAATCAAGGGTAATCCTAAACCCTCTTATAATGCTGGGGACACAATAGAATATGAGTGTCGCCTAGGATACAAGCGTATTGTTCCTGTTCTTCCCATGTCTACTGTTTGTCAGTCCAATAACTCATGGGTACCTCCTCTCCAGGAGGCTTGTACAAGTAAGTATACAACATTTTTATTTTTATTGCTCTGAAGATTTCACACATTGTAGACTGCATATTCCACTATTAACATGATGGCTTTCTCATGTGGATGTAGATTTTATGTAGCAATGTACTTTTTCAGGCATTGAAAATCTCCAGGAAATTTTCAATTTGGCCATTAATGCTCTGGGTAAATGTGAATCTTAAGTTTGGCCATCAGTGGCAACATGGATGGACCTCACGAATATTATACTAAGGAAAATAAGTCAGTCAGAAAAAGCTAAGAACCATATGATTTCACTCATATGTGAGTTATAAAACTGAAACTCATAGACACAGACCACAGTTTGGTGGTTATCAGAGGGAAGAGTTGGAGGGTATGGGGATGAAGGGTAAAGGAGACCAAATATATGTGATGGGAGATGATTTGACTTTGGGTGCTGGGCACACGGTGCCATATGCAGATCATCCTATATAATAAAAGGCTAATATGCAAATTGTCCGTACGGGTGGGAATTTGACCAACCAGGAGTTATACATGTGCTGACCACCAGGGAAAAGCGTGGAACATGGTGGGCGTTGGTGACAGGACAGGCGTCCGGGGAAAGGGAGGCCCACCCATGCCCCGCCGGCAGCTGCTAGGGACCCTACCCATGCATGATTTTCATGCACTGGGCCTCTAGTGTAACATAAAAGTGTACACTTGAAACCTATGTAAGCTTATTAACGAATGTCACCCCAATAAATAAAATGTAATAAAAATAAATAAGACAAAATATTTCCATTGATTTAATAGCACAATGTAGAATTTTTATTTTGATTCAAATCTGTTTTGACATTAGTATAAAACAACGAATTTGAAATTTTCCTTTTAGAAAAGGTATGTCCACAGCTAGGAGACCTCGTAAATGGCGACGTAGTCTACGCTAACGGAAGTATGGAGTTTGGCTCACAAGCTCACTTTAAATGTAATGCTGGGTAAGTAAACTGCCCCTTGGAGGAAGGAGGTAAATGTGGGAGAAGGTTGCTGGTTCCATTTTTGGTTTGGTTCTCTTCTCAAGCATTTCCATGATGTTGAGTTCATCTTGCTTTCTGTGGAACAAGTTGTACTTAACAGCCAATCAACCCTTGGGCTTTTTATGGAGACTGAAAAGATGTGCAATAAATAGAAAGAAATTTAAATTGAAGGAAAACAAAATTGTGTCATACTATAAGTAATAATAAGCCTATCATAGTCATTAAAAATGCAGTCATCTTGATGACATGATCCTAAATTAAACTATATAGTAGGCTGGAGGGTGGAAAGAGAGACAGGGAGTTAATCAGTTAACAGAAGAAATGGCAGGGGAGAGAAACCAAGATGGCGACATAGGTAAACACCGGAAATTGCTGCCTCCCACAACCACTTCAAAAATACAACTAAAAGACGAAATGGACATCATCCAGAACCACAGGAAGGCTGGATGAGTGGAAATTCTACAACTAGAAGGAAAGAGAAAAGCATACTGAGACTCAGAGGAGGCGCGGAAGTAAAGTGCAGAGGTACTGAGGCACACGTGGAAAGGGCTGGCAACTGAGGGCACAGTTGTCTTTTTCAATAGAGAGGGAGTCTCAAGCTCCCAACTGCTCTGAACTCCAGTTCCTCTGGGGACCCAGACTCATACACTCATATAGGGAGAAACTGGACTGTCTGGCATCAGGTGGAACTCGAGGGCGGCTTTCTCTCACAGGTGCTTACAGAGATTATCGGGACACTTGAGACGCGTGGCCTCTTAGGGTAGGACTGAGGAGCAGCCATAGCTGCTTGCTCTGTCCTGTTGATTCCCTGAGACCCTGCCCCACCCAAGCTGTGTGCAGAGGCTTTTGCATAGGAAAGGCCTGGCCCTTTACAATCTGAAAATTACCTAACAAACTGGAGCTGGGTCAGAGAGACCAGAACTTCCAAAAGAAGGCCCAAGGCCCCACAGCAGCTTGCATTGCTTCACAGCTGGACCTCACTGGGCACCTCCAAACCCCAAACAAAGAAGACGAATCTGCAGATCTTTCCATAGCTCCTGCTGGGTAGCCTCAGGAAGAGGCTAAATTAGCACCTCCTTAGAGATCCAAGAGCCAGTGTACCCAGAGGTCAGAGTGGGACCATCCAGATTACAACTCCTCAGATCCATAAGGGACACACTCAGGGGGCAGACTCAGTGAGCACCAAAGCCCCACTGAAGCAAGTCTTGCCCCAGAAGGGTGTCTCCAGCACAGAAGTTCTCCCACTGCAGACACAGCTGATTCTCACAGCCAATTGGCCTGGAGGTCAATTCCTCCCAGTGATAACTACAACAATCAAGGCTTAACTACAACAAGACTGTGCACAAAGCCCACAAAGAGGTGCACCAAGAGCATCCACCTCAGGTAATTGGGGAGGCTGAGCCACTGGGCCCTATAAGACACCTAACACAGAAAACCACTCTATCAACACAGGAAAGCAGCCAAAATGCGGAGACAAAGAAACAGGTCACAAATGACAGAAATGGAGGAAAGCAAACTACTCAATATAGAGTTCAAAACCACACTTTTAAGGTTTTTCAAGAATTCTCTAGAAACCGCCGATAAATTTAGTGAGACCCTCAAGAAATCTAGTGAGACCCTTGAGGTTATGAAAAAGGACAAATAGAAATTAAGCATACACTGACTGAAATAAAGGATATTATGCAGAGTTCCAACAGCAGACCAGAGGATTGCATGAATCAAGTCAAAGATTTTAAATATGAAGAAGCAAAAATCACCCAACCGGAAAAACAAAAAGAAAAAAGAATCCAAAAATATGAAGATAGCGTAAGAAGCCTCTGGGACAACTTCAAGCGTACCAATATCCGAATTATAGGGGTGCCAGAAGAAAAGAGAGAGCAAGATATTGAAAACCTATTTGAAGAAATAATGACAGAAAACTTCCCCTACCTGGTGAAAGACATAGACTTACAAATCCAGGAAGCGCAGAGAACCCCAAACGTAAGGAATCCAAAGAGGACCACACCGAGACACGTCATAATTAAAATGCCAAGAGCAAAAGACAAAGAGAGAATCTTAAAGGCAGCAAGAGAAAAACAGTCAGTTACCTACAAGGGAGTACCCATACGACTGTCAGCTGATTTCTCAACAGAAACTATGCAGGCCAGAAGGGAGTGGCAAGAAATATTCAAAGTGATGAATAGCAAGAACCTACAACCAAGATTACTTTACCCAGCAAAGCTATCATTCAGAATTGAAGGTCAGATAAAGAGTTTCACAGATAAGAAAAAGCTAAAGGAGTTCATCACCACCAAACCAGTATTATATGAAATGCTGAAAGGTATCATTTAAGAAGAGGAAGAAGAAGAAAAAGGTAAAGATAAAAATTATGAACAACAAATAGACATCTATCAACAAGTGAATCTAAAAATCAAGTGAATAAATAATCTGATGAACAGAATAAACTGGTGAATAATAGAATCAGGGGCATAGAAAGGGAGTGGACTGACAATTCTCAGAGGGAAAGGGGTGGGGGTGGGGGTTCGGGAAGAGACTGGACAAAAATCGTACACCTATGGATGAGGACAGTGGGTAGTGGGGTAAGGGCAGAAGGTGGGGTGGGAACCGGGTGGAGGGGAGCTATGGGGGGAAAAGGAGGAACAACTGTAATAATCTGAACAATAAAGATTTAATTTTTAAAATAATAAGAAGAAGAAGAAATGGCAGGAACTAATGAAATGTGTGTTGAAACTTTGAATGAACTTCCAGAGGTACTTGAGGATCGTGCTAATATAAGAGCTAGTAGTGTAGCTGTTTTTCAATAAGAGCTAGCTGAACACCAGATTTCACCACATCCTGCTTCCACAGGAACTTTTCAGACTTTCCAGGAAATTGTCCAAAAGCAGCAAACACTTCTTCCTCCCATCTATGCACCTATCCCAGAACTAGCCCCACTTTCCCTTCTTCTGCCCCCTTATCTATAGCCAATGTGAATTCCTTCAAAATAACTTACATCTTTCTACTCAAAGCTGTAAAAGAACCCCATTAAACCAGGATGGCGGAAATGCTTGCCTTCTCTCCCTGCTGCTGCTGGTTTAGACTGCATGCCTCGGACCTGGTTCTTTTTACATGGCTAGTCAGTAAACCTGTTCCTTCAGGAAAACTTCAGTCTGCGAAGGTTTTGTTTCACAATTTTGTGCCGTTGTTGTCAGAGAAGAGGCATTGTATGATATCTAGTCTTTTAAAAACCTATTGATTAGTTAATATTAATTTGTGGCTCATCATATGGTCTATCCTGGAAGATGTCCCATGTGCACTTAGGAGAATGTGTATTTTGTTCTGTGGTGCTCTGTCTGTGAGATCTAATTAATTGTGTTCTGGAAGTCCTCTATTTTCAGTCTTATTTTCAGTCTAGTTGTTGTGAGTAGGATATTGAAGTCTCCAACTATTACTGAAGAAATGCTTGTTGCATAGAAATGTGTATTTCTCGCTACAGTTACCAGGCAAGACAGGTTTATTTAGACACTTTGCTCTAGGCCAGCAGTTCTCAACCTGTGGGCCCCGACCCCTTTGGCGGTCGAACGACCCTTTCACAGGGGTCACCTAAGACCATCCTGCATATCAGATATTTACATTACGATTCATAACAGTAGCAACATTACAGTTATGAAGTAGCAATGAAAATAATTTTATGGTTGGGTCACAACATGAGGATCTTATATTTAAAGGTCCAGAAGGTTGAGATCCACTGCTCTAGGCTCATGTGTGTTCATATGCAGAATCTTTCCATTTCATTAAACTTTAGACTTAGTTAGCACATTCAATACCTGTCACTTCAGAAACTTCTCCCTGAAGCTACTGTAGTGTAGAAAAAAATCATATAAAAACTTCTTCGTTATTATGTGTTCCTGTTAAGTGATAAAGAAAACAATTATCATATCTTTTCTCATTTAGTTATTACTTAATTGGACAAAAAACTCTATATTGTGAACTCACTGGAAATAATGTGGAATGGAGTGATAATCTACCAAGTTGTGAAAGTAAGTACATTCTCTCTTTAGAATTTACAGCAGCAGTTCCCAAATTTTATGGCCTGGGGACCCCATCATGCTTTACAATGAAGACCCCACAGGGATTTTATGCAAGTGGGTTAGTGCTATTGATCTTCTTTATACTAAGATTAAAGCAGAGAAGTTTTTAAATAATTATTTGTTAATTCATTTTTAAGAACAATAATCTCAACACATGTTAACAAATGCAGCATATTTTTGTCCTAAGATCAAACATTTCCAAAACAGTGGGAAGGGTGTCATTGCTTTACGTTTTTCTAATCTCTTCAGTATCTGGCTTAAAGGAAGAGCTCCACATTCATCCTGCGGCTTATCAGACAGTCTCAGGCCATTGGAAAATGTCACTGTCCACTCTAAGGATGACAGTGAGAAAAGACAAAATCGTGGCATACCTGAGAACCACTGATTCAGGAATGGATGTAGCATTTCTCAACTAGCACTGAGTCTTCCTCAGTCATAAGTTTATTTTCTCATTAAATTGCCAGCATCTCTTATGATTAGAAAAAACAGCATGGCCTTACAGATATCACAAGTCTTTCATACAGGTATCTTCTATGGGTACTTAAGAAAATGGGGTTTATTCTAAAATTTCATTTCTCTATTGATGGCTGGAATTGGGATAATAACATTTTTTAATAGAAACTTTTTTTCAAATGGATATTGAATTTGCAAATAGATGTGGAAATCATATGTTAACAAACTTATTGAAAGCATAATGCTGTCTTAATCTTTTACTTTTTATTGTGTTTTTCTGTCCTCTTTTTCTCTTTTTAAGAGGTTTTGTGTAAACCACCTCCAAAAATACCAAATGGAGAATTCACCAATAACCACAAGGCTACATTTGAATATAATGAACTAGTAACTTACAGTTGTAAGCCTTCCGGTGGACCAGATGAATATTCACTTGTTGGAGAGAGCAAGCTTATTTGTATTGGGCACGACAAATGGAGTAGTAACCCTCCTGAGTGTAAAGGTAATAATATTTTCATTTCTTTCCCTCTCAATTATAAATGTTGTGGAAACTTTTACCAACTTTTAAATACCTTGGCCAACAAGTGAAAACAAAACAAAAACAGCCATATGTGCTTTAAATTTGTTTCTAATCTAATTTTATGTATCAAATAGAATAAAAAACAATTCTACTTGTAGAGTTTCCCACTCTTCACCCCCATGTTCTTGGCATTCCTGTTTATACATTGTTAATAGCTATGTATATGCATGAGTTAAATTTTTTGGCTTAAAAGCATCAAAAAACACACTAGTTTCAAGAAAGTTTTTTAAAATGTTGTTTTATTGCTTAAAGTATTACAAAGAATAGTACATATGTCTCCTTTTTTTCCCCCCTTGACCTTCACTGAAAAAAAAGTTTTATCATATAATACAAGAAGTATGACAGTTCTGGCTCAACTAAATGGTAGAATAAATTGTAAAAGACTAACCCTGTCACCAATAAGATTGATAAAGTCCAGGCAAAACATGCAGGCATATCTTTTTTAATTGTGCTTTGCTTTATTGCACTTCACACACACACACACACACACACACACACACACACACACACATTTACAAATTGAATACTGGAACCAGCAAAACAACTGTAACCTGCTTTACTCCCATACTCACCTATTGCTGTAGTCTGAAACAAACCTGAAATATATCAGAGGTTTACCTATACTTGAAAAACAAGACCAAAGGCATTTGAGCATGACCAAAAGCAGGACACACTGCGAGGTATTTGACACTTGAACAAAATTAACCACTGAAACACAGTAAAATATGTCTTCTTTTCACATGCATATGTAACATTTCTTAGTACCATATACTAGGCAATATGTTTAAAAGTTTTTTTTTATTTCAAAAATTGAAATTATTTATAGTACAGTATCTTTACAATGGAATGAATGTAGAAATAGAAGTAAAGATATCTGTAAAATCCCTAAATATTTAAAAATAATGAAGACATTTCTAACTAACCATGAATAAAAGAAGGAGTCACAAGGGAAATTAGAATGTATTTTGAATTGAATGAAAATGAAAATACAATATATTGAAATATCAAAGTTTGTGGAGTATAGCAAAAGCATTGCTTAGAAGAATATTCATAGCAAATACATATATTGGAACTAGAGAAAAGTTTCAGCTCAAGAATCTAAGGTTTCACTTTAAGGAATTAAAAAGGAAGAGCAAGTTGAATACAGAACAAGGAAACAGAAATAATAAAGATAGAAATCAATAAAATTGAAAAACATAGAATTATTGAAACCAACATCTTGTTCTTGGGGAGGATCAATACAATGAATAAAGCTATAACCAGTCTGACAAAAAAGTTGACAACACAAATGACCAACATCAAGAATGGAAAAGGGGGCTCGACTGCTTTGGTTTAGTGGTTAGAGCATCAACCCAAGTGCTGAAGGGTCTATGGTTCAATTCCTGGTCAAGGGCATATACTTTGGTTGCAGGTTTGATCTCCCACCTGGTTGGGGCACCTGCTGGAGGCAACCAATAGATGCATCATTGTCCCATCCATGTTTCTCTAACCCTCTCTTCCCCCTCCTCCTTCCCTTTCGCTCTCTTTAAAAACCAATTTAAAAAATATCCTCGGGTGAAGATTTAAAAAAACAAATTTTTTAAGAGAACATCACTAAATATCCTGCAGACATTTAAACGACAATAAGCGAATAACATGTACAACTTTATGCCAAGAAATTTGACACTTAAACCTCACAGAGAGAACTGCAGGCCCCAGCCATCACTAGTTTTGTACCAACATTTAAGTATTCACAATAGCAGCTCTGCACAAACTCTCCAAGTCAATACAACAGGAGGGAATACTTCTCACCTCATCCAATGAAGACAGAATTACCCCGATACCAAAACCAGACAAAATGTAGAAATAGGCTTACAAATTGTAGGAAAATGAAAAACAGTATCCACTGTGAACATAGAACCAAAACTGTCAGCGATGGTCAAGGTCACCTCTGCCCTGAGATAGCCTCTGGCCAGAGACAGCACTCTGCACCCCCAGTTCTGGTCTTGCTCGCAGGAATGAATTCAAACAAGAGACAACAAATAGCAGCAAAAGCAGGGGAGAATTTACTTGCAGGAAAAGCAGTACCCTCAGAACCTGAGCGGGCAACTCAGCAGGCTGACACCAAACCGCGTGCCCTGATATTTGGGAGTTCAGGGGATTTATACCCCTAGGCTGGAAGGCCCCTAGCAAGGAGCAAGTCGCCCCCTCCTCATGACTCATGAAAATATATCTTCAAACATAACACCTGAGTGAAGGTGCATTATGGGCCCTATGCATCGCTCAGATTTAATCTCAGAAGGTGTTTTCTTGTATGGACTGCCCAGCCCAGTGTTTTGTTTTGTTGCTGATTTTCCAGTTTCTGTGAAATGCATGGCTGGATCCCGAAATCAATCTAGAGTAGTGGTTCTCAACCTTCCTAATGCCGAAACCCTTAATGCAGTTCCTCATGTTGTGGTGACCCCCCATTTCATTGTTACAAATTGAACATAATTAACGCATAGTGATTAATCACAAAAACAATATGTAATTATATATGTGTTTTCCGATGGTCTTAGGTGACCCCTGTGAAAGGGTCGTTCGACCTCCAAAGGGGCCGCGATCCACAGGTTGAGAACCACTGATCTAGCGGGTCCTGCCCAGCACTTTACTTTGTAAGAAGAAGAACAGAATGGGAAGTACCGGAGTACATGGGTACCAAGACTAACTATGAAGTTTTAACTTTATCTCAGACCTGGGAGATTACAATATAAAATGTGGGGTTTGATCTCTGCATTCCAGTTCAAAATATTTGGGAAACGCAGCCTATATTCACTGGCCTTTCTACCTCTTGCACATCCCAGTTCTTGCATGTTGTTGATACCTGATAACTTTCTCTCTGCATATGTTTGCATGGCTAGCTTCTTTTCAGCTTTTTACCTTTGAGCTCAAATATTACCTTATTACAAGAGCCTTCCCTGCCTTTCTGAAAGGTCAGGGTACTAAGTCAGTGTCAGCACAAAATTAAAAAAAAAAAATTTTTTTAATTCCTAGAGCTAAAGAGCATCAAAAGTTGCTTTTAAACTTTCCTGAAAATTGTATGTGGTAATCAGACCTTTCTCAAAACTTGTCAGTAAGGGAAAAACAATCATCTATAATGACAGTTTGTTCTAGGTGGGAAAAGGTTGTTAGATGTCTCTATATCTGTTTAATTAAAATGCACAAATAGGCCTAGCTGTGTGGCTCAGTGGCTGAGCATTGACTTATAAACCAGGAAGTCATGGTTCCATTCTGGGTCTGGGTACATGCCTGGGTTTTGAGCTTGATCCCCAGTAGTGCGTGTGCAAGAGGCAGCTGATCAATGTTTCACTCTCATGGATGTTTCTATGTCTCTCTCCCATGTCCCCTCTGTAAAAATAATTAGTTAATTCATTAAAACACTTATTTTAATACACACATAAAGTATTTTTTATTTAATTAACATTCTGCCTTCCGTTCCTTGGCTGTTTGTCCCCAGGGGAAGCTCCTAATTTGCACTAGTTTTTCTTTCCCCTATTGAAACAGCTTTCCATTAATTCTGGAATTTCTTCATTTTTCAGTGGTCAAATGTACCTATCCAAATGTCCCGAATGGAAGAGTGGTGTCCGGATTTGGAAAAAAATATCTGTACAAAGCAGAGGTTAAATTCGAATGCCTTGCAGGATTTTACCTCGATGGCAGCAGCACTATTGTCTGTGGAGCCGACAGTACTTGGAAGCCTAAGATCCCAACATGTATTAAAGGTGCAAAGGGGTCTTTTTGTCTCTTTTGTTTAGATTTTATTTCTTTGACATTAAATAGCAATGATATGGAGTCATTGAAAAGAAACAGTTGTTTTAAATTAACTCCATCTCATATTCATTTCCATGACAGAGGCATGACATCAAATGTATTGTTTTCATAGGGTCTTAGCACATTATGTATATCACACAGGTGTCTCAATTTCTGGCATTTCTTATGTGTAAAAATGTATAGCAACCATTTTTCAGAGTCAATTGAAGCATGGGAATTTCTACCTAAAAAAGAATCTAAATTCTTTTTCCTATAATTCATAATTCCTATACATTTAAAAATGCAATAATTTCAAAGTGATTAATCTCATTGTTGTTATTTTTTTTTTTTAGGGGCACCACCTCTCAGTACAAAACCCACAACTTCCAGTTCCTCAGGTTTAATAACTTTCTGCTTATATTATTTAATACCTTGCAATTTCTTTTTTACAATTCTTTAACTACCTGGTGATTTACACTCATTCGCCATTTTTAGTAATGAAAGGAGGAAAAACATATTTACAGCCATTCTAGTTGGTATACTTCGTGATCCTAAAACTATCTGCCTCAGTCTGCAGACATTGGAACCAGCTTGGGCATGTTATGTAAACCTTAAAAGTGTTTACTAATATCTAAGATGATTGAATGCCTTCCTCACTGGTGGATAGTAGAGTTAAACTGGGATGTACTCGTATTTAAAGCAGTTAGCACAAGGCCTAGCATTTAGGAAGCTCTCAAAGGAAACTTATTTATGACTTACAGCATCACTCCAATTAATGTCAGCGCAAAGGAGGGTCCGTGGCTTTTGTTCTTAATACATATGTTTTCTATGTCATCAACTTAGCCATTTTATTATTTGTAAAACGATCTGTTGACACCTTTACAAGGTGTCCTTGTGACCTAGGATGATGTTGTATTTCCCGGACTACACCCAGTTTCATTTGTTTCAGGAACTGGGAAATTTCTGCTGTCTCTAGAACAGCAACCCTACCTCTTACTGCCTCCTAGAATTATTCTTTTTCTCTTTACTGGGCATTTTTATTTGGCAATAGAGGCAAATTTCATAGCAACGGAAAGGCAGGAGAAGTCCTTAGTTATTGAAATGAAATGGAGGACTTCTTGTATGAACTGCTGGCTCTCCAAGACTTAGGAGATTATTTTGATATGACGGAAGAAATTGTCTTCCTGATTTTAGTGCTGCTATCTCTGGCTTCTCTTTGTTTTCAGCAGAAACAAGAGAGAAGAGAAACACAGTAGTCATCACTTATCCACGGCTTCACTTTCTGTGGTTTCAGTTACCCACAACCGTGGTCTGAAAAGATTAAATGGGAATTCCAGGAATAAGTAATTCATAACTTTTAAATTACTTGCCATTCTGAATAGCAGGATGAAATATCACTCTGTCCCACTATTTCTCACCCGGGCCGAGAATCATCCCTTGGTTCAGTGTCTTCACCTCACTTTTTCTCATCACGTAGGCATTGTATCATCTCACATCATCACTAGAAGAAGGGACAACGCAGTGCAAGAACATATTTTGAGAGGGAGACAACACATTCACATTATTTTTATTATAGGATATTGTTATAATTGTTCCATTTTAATAGTAGTTGTTGTTAGTCTCTTACCTTGCCTAATTTATAAATTAAACTTTATTATAGATATACATATAACATACACAGGGGTCAGTAGTATCCAGGTTTTCAGGCATCAGTGGGGGTCTTGTAATGTACCCCATGTAGGCGAGAGCTTTGTATTGTAGTGGAAGAGCTTTAGCCTGGGCAGAGCTCACACAAGGTCCTAATTTGGCTCAACTTATTCCAATAACATCATTTCTGTGGCCTTATTTTCCTGTTAAACATGAGGGTGTTGAACTGGAGAAAATTTCAATTACTGGCTTCTAATGTGTTTGTATATTTCCTGTTGTCCTAATCATTTAAAAAGATTGTGGGGAATTATGCATGTTAACATGTTAACAATTAGAACATCTTTTTAGAATCCTCCTGTACCTGGAACCTGGTAGCTTCCTTGAATAACTTACTTGAGTGTTACAAGGTTTTGAGAGAAAGAGATCATTTTTGGTGGACTGATACATTAAGGTTGCATGTGAATTTTATACTCATCAGCCCATCCGTGTTTGCTCACATGGTCCTAGTCAGTATATGCACTGTGGTATGCTGTGTTTGTTGATATGTTCTTTTAAAAGACTTGGCCATAAGTATTTCAGAAAGGATTTATAAAACAGTAATTCTGGTTAGTGTTTCAAAGAAGTAAAGATTGTGAGGAAATGTTTATAAAGAAGATAAACTGTAGGGATCTTTTCTTAAATATCAAAAATCAAAATTCCTCATGGGACTGCCATTTTATATAATTGGAGAAAAATATATAAAAAGGATCAGTAGCAACATGTAATAATGATAAGGTGGATTGAGGATAATTGTTCTAATATGAAAAAATACTAAGCGAAAAGCAAAGGGATAAGAATTCTGTGGTCTGATACTAATTGGATGTAACTTTTTAAAGATACATATGTTTATTTTGAATGTATTGTTTTTATGATTTTTATTAGTTAATTTCTAGGATGTCCATTCTGAAATACAAAGCTATAGTGAGTATTCTTATGCAAAATCCATATGTACTTAGATCTATATGTATTTAGGTAACTTCCCAGAAGTAAAATTATAAAGATAGGAAAGTATGTGTATTTTTCATCTAGAGAAATAATTAATCTCTTTTAAAAAATCAAAAATCAAATTAAATCCTGATTTTGTATAAATAAAGCTGGTGAATGTAATCAAATTTATTTTTCCAGGTGTCAAGCCTACTGTTCCAACCACATCTAGTACAACTTCAAAAAAAACAGGTTCAGTAACTCTTTATTCTACTTACATTGTTAAGAACTTAATAAGGTGATGAGCAAAAAATAATGTTATGTGTTAATTTGCATTTCTTTAATCCTATATAATAAAAGCCTAATATGCTAAGTGTCCAGTCATCCGGTCCTCTGTTCAACTAATCAGAGCATAATATGCTAATGATATGCTAAGGCTGCTCAACTGCTCGCTATGACATGGACTGACCACCAGGGGGGCAGACCATTGACTGGTAGTTTAGCTTGCTGCTGGGGTCCAGCCGATCAGGACTGAGCAGGATGGGCCAGACATGCCCTGGAGCCCTCCCACGGTTCCTCCCCAGCTGACCAACCTCCAGAATCCCTCCCTGGCCCCAATCGTGCACTGGTGGGGTCCCTTGACCTGGCCTGCACCCTCTTGCAATCTGGGCTGAGGGATTGCCCCCCCCCACCCCAGTGCATGAATTTCATACACTGGGCCTCTAGTTATAAATAAAGCTGAACTTTTTTTGGCCCACATTGATTTATTCATGTTCTTTGCTCATTTTTCTATTAGGTTTCTAAAATTTCTTTGTTGATTTGTCAGAACTCATTATAAATTAATGCCCTTTTAACATGAAGTGACCATTTTTCTAGTTCTTTTTTCCTTTGTCTTATTTTTACTAATCAGTTTTCTTTTAAGATTTTATACGGTTAGATATAGATTACATTTTATAACTTTTAATTATATAAGTAGTATATAAATATAAATTTGTAAAATTTCAAATATTACAAAAAAGTATACGGAGTAAAAGATTAGTCTCCTGTTTCTCTATTTCATTTCCTAAGGTAATCATTTAATCATTTAATAGTCTTTTTTAATCAGTTTATGTACATTGATATCCTTATATGCATAAATATACATACTTTAGTGTGTTTTTGTTGTTGTTAAACAGAATTGGAATCATGCCATTCATTTTTTTTTAAAAAAATCACATTATAATTTACTGTCAGTTGGGGTTGTATTTGAATTTATTCCCATGCTTTTAGTGGTGACTTTAATATATACCATATTTATTTAACTATTATCTTATCAGTGGTCATTTATATGTGCAGAAGTTTTACATTAACAGGTAGTTGGTATATACCATATTTATTTAACTATTATCTTATCAGTGGTCATTTATATGTGCAGAAGTTTTACATTAACAGGTAGTTGGTATATACCATATTTATTTAACTATTATCTTATCAGTGGTCATTTATATGTGCAGAAGTTTTACATTAACAGGTAGTTGGTATATACCATATTTATTTAACTATTATCTTATCAGTGGTCATTTATATGTGCAGAAGTTTTACATTAACAGGTAGTTGGTATATACCATATTTATTTAACTATTATCTTATCAGTGGTCATTTATATGTGCAGAAGTTTTACATTAACAGGTAGTTGGATGTATTAATGTTTTCCTCCATTAGGTATTGTAGGTACCTCATAGACGTAGAATCACTTCTGGATTATTTCACTTTGTAAAATGTGTTCTGGCTTATTTCACTTAGCGTAACAGTTTCAAGTTTCATCTATTTTCTAGCATGTATCAGAACCTTATTCCTTTCTATGATTGAGTTATGTCCCATTGTCTGCAGTTACCACCTTTATTTTTTTTATCCATTCAGTTGGGTTGTTTCCAACTTTGGCCATTCTGAATATGCTCCTCTGATAATTGGCATTTGAGTAAATGTTTGAGGCCTGTTTTCAATTTGGGGGGTGGGTGGGTATACACCCAGGAGTAGAGCTGCTGGGTTATGTGTTTACTTTTTGAGGAGCAGCCACACTGTCTTCCACAGCCGCTGCACCACTTTACATTCCCACCAGTGACGCACGAAGGTTCCAATTTATCCACCTCTTTACCAATTCATGTTATTTTGTGGGGTTTTTTTTAATGAATTTTATAGTTTTAGCTCTTATATTTAGTTCTTTGATCCACTTTGTATTCATTTTTGTATATGACGTAAGATAAGGATCCACCTTCATTCTTTTATATGTAGATATCCAGATTTCCAAGAACCATTTGTTGAAAAGATTGCCCTTCCCCCATTAAATGTCCTGAGCACCCTTCCCTTCAATCTTTTGACCATATATGCACATGTTTATCTGTGGGCTCTGTATTCTATTCCATAGGTCTCTCTGTATTTATGTCTGCACCACAGACATAAATTATTATAGCTTTTGAGTAAGTTTTAAAATCAGAAAATGGGAGTTCTCTCAACTTTTCTCTTCCATTTCAAGATTGTCTTGGCTGTCCCTAGTCCCTTGAGGTTCCATATGAATTATATGTTGGATTTTTCTATTTCCGCAAAATACTGTATTCAAGATGGTGATGGGGATTGCATTCCGTCTGTAGGTTGCTTTGTGCAGTGTTAACATCTTAACCATCTCAAGTCTTCCAGTGCATGAACACAGGATGTCTTTTCATTTATTGATACTGTCTTTTTCTTTCAGCAGTGTTTCGTAGTTTCCAGTGTAGGAGTCTTTCACCTCTTTGGTTAAATTTCTTTTTAAGTTATTTTTTTTTAATCCTCAACCAAAGATATGTTTATTGATGTTAGAGAGAGGAAGGAGAGAAGAGACAGAGAAACCTGGATCGGCTGCCTCCTGTAGGTGCCCTGACCAGGGTTCTGGAGTACAGGACAACGCTCCAACCAACTGGGCCACCTGGTCAGGGCAGTATTTTACTCTTTTTTTTTGATGCTATTGTAAATAGAATTGTTTTCTTCATTTCCTGTTTGGTTTGCTCATTGTTAGTGCATACAAATGCTACTGATTTTTACTTGTTGATTTCCTACACTGCAACTTTGCCACATTTATTTTTTAGTTCCAACAGGTGAGTGTATGTGCATGGACCAGTATATGTGTGTGATCTTTACAAGTTTCTACTTTAAAAAAAAAACATGTCATCTAGAACAGACGTCATTTCATTCCTTCCTTCCCAATTTGGATGCTTTCCTTTCTTGCCTAATTGCTCTGATTATAAGTTTTGATATTATGTTAAATAGAAATGTCAAACAGGAGCATCCTGTCTTGTTCCTGATCTTAAGGAGAAAACTTTCCGTCTTTCACCATCGAGGATGGTGTTACCTATGAGTCTTTCCTAAATGGGCCCCATTATATTGAAATGTCTCAGCATTACCGAATAACCTCTAAATCATTTATTAAGCTCTCCTGTGTCTTTTAATTGTAAGTAGAATCACATTAAATCCATAGGCTAATACTGAGGATACACTAAGGATAAATTTGCATTCTGTACCATTCTGTATCCTGTGACAGAATATTGTCACAGGAAATGTTACTGGAGAGGAAAAAGAATGCTGATGACTGAATATAAATTTATAATATTTTATGACACTACTTTAAATGAAAAACATTAATATAATTTATATAAGGAAAATAAAATGATAAGGGATTTTGAACAAAGGCCAAAAATCCAAACCTATGTATTTAGGAGTCTTCTTTGATTTACTATTTTTTACTTCTTTTTAAAATATTTTTCCTTTTTTTCCTAGTATATACCACTTCCGATGATGATACACCAATTAAAGGCAGTGATTTAGGTATTGTTTTGGTTATTAATAATCCTCCATTATGAGACCTTAGATTTCTCCATAGAAATATGTTTCAATTATCTGTGGTTTGAGAAGAAACAACCTGTCATGTGATAGTTGACATTTGTAATTTTAATAGCGCAGATACCATGACAAATGGAAGGAGTAGTATGTGTAGACACATGGAGATAATACAGGCTTTTTTTATTGTTTAAAGTATTACATGTCTCCTTTTTTCCCCGATTAACCCCCCCCCCCGCCACTCCCACCCCCAGAGATAATACAGTTTTTTTAAAATATATTTTATTGATTTTTTTACAGAGAGGAAGGGAGAGGGATAGAGAGTTAGGAACATTGATAAGAGAGAAGCATCAATCAGCTGCCTCCTGCACACCCCCTACTGGGGATGTGCCCGCAACCAAGGTACATGCCCTTGACCGGAATCGAACCTGGGACCCTTCAGTCCTCAGGCCGACGCTCTATCCAGTGAGCCAAACCAGCCAGGGCGATAATATAGTTTTTAAGAGGTTCCTCAAATCGAATTCCTAGTAGGGTGCGGGAACTTTCTCAATTGCTGTGTTTATTTGTAGGTTAAAATTTATAAAACCTAATGTGCCTTTCATGTGATAGTGTTATTTTGTAATGGCAATTTGTAAATAAATGTTCTGTCTATTCATACCTTGTATATATAAGCCTTAACGTATTGTAAGTTGGGTTAGTTTTTTTCTACAACAAGCAGGTGTATCACACTTTATTTAGGCTCATGTAGTTCACACAATGTGTGTTAAAAGAAAGGATCAAGTATGGTTGTGGCAGTTACATGAAATATAAGGATTTTTGATAAATAAGTGAAGAAAAGTATGTATTACTTTTCTTTACATTAGACTAGATTAGCAAGGTTAGTCTTTTTATAAAATGCACCTTAGACTGTTAAACTTTCACTCTGAACGCTGTGGTCAAACTGTCACCGTGCCAGTAAATCCAAAGCCACCTTCATTCATTAACCACTTCACAACTTTTTATGAAGTAAAAAGAGAAGAGGTAAACATGACATTGTATACTTTGACATATAAACATTTAATGACAATAATGGCAGTGTGGAAGCAGAGGTACTACCGAACAACATTTCTAAGATTTTGTAGTATTATTTATTGCTCTCCCCACCATCAAGAATGCATGTTCAAGTTTCGATGCATCATTTATCCTTGTATCCTGGAGTTTCATTTGGATTCTTAGAATGTTCTTAGTAATTAAGTTGTGTCTTAACTTGGGGATGGGGACTTGCGAAGACTGTAAAATAGGACTATATAATCAAATAATAGAAATTCCTTAATGGCTCATTCCACAGACTCACTTTTGGGGAACAATGTAAATGAAATTTCTAACAAAATAATAAGAATGATAGACTGAATACTGAATTAAACCAATGAGCCCTGGTCGGTTTGGCTCAGTGGACAGAGCGTCGGCCTGCAGACTATAAGAGTCCCGGGTTCAATTCCCGGTCAGGGCACATGCCCAGATTACAAGCTCCATCCCCAGTGGGGGGTGTGCAGGAGGCAGCCAATCAATGATTCTCTCTCATCATTGATGTTTCTAACTCTTTCTCCCTCTCCCTTCCTCTCTGAAATTAATAAAAATATATTTTTAAAAAAAACGAGAATGGGATAATACCTTCTTAAAATGATTTTCCTCTAACCTAGTAAATTGTCATTTTTATAATACTTTCTCCTAATTTTTATGATAATTCCAATTTTTATAACCTGGTGGGGTTACTACAGCACAAAACAAGGACAAGTGAGGGCCTATTAAGAGTTTCACAAGTTGGACCCTAAGCCTAGAATCAGATTAGAAGGGCTCTGTGATCAAATGAGCTGGATGCACTAGCAGTCACACTAAACTAGACCGATGAACATTTTCTTTGCTGTAGTTTACAGATGATCTCATCAAAATTAAAATGTGTCAACTATATGGAGACCCACGTGTGCTCAATTACCTTCAAACTGGTTTTATTTTTTTTCTCAGATGGAGGACTCGTTGCTGTGATTGTTCTGACTGTACGTAAGTGTCCCAAACTTGGATGCCAACTTAAATCAAAATATTAACGTGAACAAGTGCATTTTTAACGATGTTTTAGTGTCTATAGTTTTCATAGATTGAAATTGAGTAAACCAGTCTAGAAATACCTGACCTTTTATATGATTCTACCTTGTGTTGGTGGTTGTATAATCTTTTTTAAAAAATATATTTTATTGATTTTTTACAGAGAGGAAGGGAGAGGGATAGAGAGTTAGAAACATCGATGAGAGAGAAACATCGATCAGCTGCCTCCTGCACACCTCCTACTGGGTATGTGTCCACAACCAAGGTACATGTCCTTGACAGAAATGATCTTGAGACCCTTGAGTCTGCAGGCCAACGCTCTATCCACTGAGCCAAACCGGTTAGGGCTGATTGTATAATTTTTTTGTATTCTGCATGTCCCTGTAGTAACAAATCCTAAATATTCCAAATATGTTTTGAGTATTATTCTAAATTAAGCACAGACTCTTCTCTGGGTTACTGCAGACCCTGAGTGATACAAGGGAACTGCATTTAGACAGTGAAGAGTCCAGATAGAATATGAATGTATGTGGGCTTAAATAAAGTAATATTTCTGCCCACTGAAGTGTAACCAACATTCATTTCTTCTGCTGGACTTTGAAACTTGGCATTAGTTGTTAGAGTTACATGTCATTTGTTTTCTGGTTTCTTGCAGTTCTTGCTATTGCAGTGATTGGCACCTGTGTGTATAAATTTCTTCACGTCAAGCAAAGACAATAAATAAAACATGTTTTTGAACCTGTTGTTGCTTCTCATCTTGATGTACCTGTGCAGCTTTTGCTTGCTCTCTGTATTGCGTGCTGCCTTGTTAAAAATGTTCTTGCGTGAGTGTGCTGTCAGGATTGCATTTCCTTACTAAAATATTTTCACCTCCTTTTAATGTTATTGTAACAAGACTAATCTGTGCAGAGTTGTTTTAGATATTATGACTGTCAGGAAAACCTGTGGGGAGTTGAGGTTTAAGTTCTGCAGAAAATCATGGCTCATTGTAGTGCCTCCCCTACCCTAGGTTTACACTATTCCTACGGTGGATTGGGAGCCAGGAGTAAATTTAAAATAGTTCACTGTGTGCCTGGCTGGTGAGGCTCAGTGATTGAGTTGCGATCTGTGAACCAGGAGAGCATGGTTCAATTCCTGGTCAGGGCACATGCCCTGGTTGCAGGCTTGTGTGGGGCATACAAGAGGCAGCCAATCAATGATTCTCTCTCAACATTGATGTTTCTAGCTCTTTATCCTTCTCCCTTAATCTCTGAAATAAATAAAATTATATTTAAAAAATAAAACTAAAAAAATAAACAGTTCACTGTGGAGACTTTGACAATTCTATTCACTGTAATTTTTTGGAGGAAAGCTTCCATGTGTCTATATATCTGAAGTAGTTGCAAGAAGTCATTTTAAAAATGAGTAAGACATATTTTCTCCTGTTTTCTCCTGAAAACTCGATTTCTTTTCATTTAGAGATTTTATTTGTACATGTTAAAGTGGGGAATTAAAAACAACATTGTTGGACTTTCCTCTTATGTTCTCCTCACTTAACTAGGTTGCAGTAAAGCTCAAGGTTAAACCTAAAGTTACTGAGAGGGGTAAATTACCAAGGCACCTCATTAACTTTATCTGCCTTTTTATCTATAAAAAATGAAAAAGGGGAAATTTAAAATAGAAAAAAAAGTACAAATATATATCTTCTAAGGAGAATGGGAATTGTAAGCATCACACTTAAATTTTAATGAAATCATTTACAATGTAATGAAAGATTTAGAATAACACCTGGAGCATAGACAAAGACTGAAATATTTGACTTTCAGCCATTGGTTTTCCCATGTCATTTTGGAGATAGTTTTGAAATCAAACTAATCTTTTTTAAGACTTTTTGTATTTGTTGTTTAATAATATGTCTTTTATATTAATCATTGGGTTTGGGCTATGTAATAAGAGTACATTCTTCATTCATAAAGAGCTTAAACTCTTTTTATAATATTGGTTATCTTTTTAAAGTGCCCACAGTGCCTTCATTTGAATCTTATATCATATTGTAGAACTCATGATAGGCGTATTTGATTTCTCTGTTTGTAGTGTATTTTTAACACGACATATACACAGCAGTCTGAGTAGGAAATGCTCTCAGTGGAATATTTTTACAATTCCAAACAACTGATGTAGAAATAATTTCTAAAGAAAGCAAAGACAGGTTTTTGTCCCTCACTTTCTTTAAAACATCACTGCATCAAAATACTTAAACAAACATGGATCAAACCCTCTAGCTACCAGGTAAGGGCTCTATTAAAGGTGAAGAGGTGTCTGAGCGCTGTAGCCCTGGATTCAAGGCTCAGTACCACAACTGATCTGAGGTTCCATGTCTGCTGAGCTCCAAGTGCTGCTGCTGCTGGGCCTGGACTGCTGTGAGTAACCAGGGTGGAGACCACCATGGATGTGCGTGTGTTCTTGAAATATGAATAAGCACCTTCAAGTTTATGAGGAAATGTTTCTCCTGTTGTAGGTAATTGGGTTTTTTAAAGACTCCTCATCTTGTGTACATGCTCCAGAAAGGAGGTGGGGTAACACTTAGCTTTGCCTCCTTTCTTTCAGGGAAAGTTAAGATTTCCATTATATTCTCTGCACTGTTTAATGTCCATAATCTCCCTCAAAAAAAAAAAAGGCTGCCATCACTTTAGAAACTAATTTATGAGACTCTAACATGTATAGAGATACTTCTTTATTCCTAAGGGTAACTCTGGAAGCAAGGTACTAGGCATAGAGAAGCAAATGTTGCTGTTACAACTTGGTACCAGCCCTAGCCAGTTTGTCTCAGTGAATAGAGTGTCGGCCTGTGGACTGAAGGGTTCCGGGTTCAATTCCAGTCAAGGGCATGTACCTCAGTTGCATGCTCCTCCCTGGCTGGGCCCTGGTCAAGGCTCGTACAGGAGGCAACCAATCAATGTGTTTCTCTCACAATGATATTTCTGTCTTTCCCTCTCTGTTCCACTCTCTCTAAAAATCAATGGGAAAATATCCCCGGTGAGGACTAAATAAATAAATAAAGACAAATCATTAAAAACAAACAAACCTGGTACCATATGCCTTGATGTGAACTTGTACTTATGAAGGTTTGGAATACAATTACCTTTCTACAGCCTAAGTATAAGTACTAAAGTAGAAAAATACCATAAATACTCATTTTTAAGATTATTAAACATATTTAAATCACTTGATGAAAAATGGCCATGAGGTAAGAAGATATATATCCTACCATGTATATAATGTGGGGAGGTAGTTGCTCTAAGTTACAATCCAGAGTTTGGGAGCAGATTCTACAAAGGCCAGTGGGAAAGGCAATTTCTTGGTAAAAACAAAGTGGTGTCTTTAATCTCAGTGACAAAGGTGAAGACAAACATTCCTACTAGAAGGGCAGTCAGGGTCTCCAAGTCCCCTCTACTTGATTTCTTAGGATTCCTTGAGGCTAAAACCAACCAGTTTTCAGACTGTTGTGAGCTTCAAGGTGTCAGAAGTGCTCACAGTTAATTTAATGAATGTTGGCATTAATATAAAATAGCTGTAATTAGAAATTAAGTTTTAGCCCTAGCCGGTTTGGCTCAGTGGATAGAGCGTTGGCCTGCAGACTGAAGGGTCCTGGGTTCAATTCCAGTCATGGGTAAGTACCTCAGTTGTAGGTTCCTCCCCCGCCCTGTCCCTGGTCAGGGTGCTTGATGTGTTTCTCTCACACTGATGTTTCTCTCTGTCTTTCCCTCTCTCTTCCACTCTCTCTAATAATCAATGGAAAAATATCCTCAGGTGAGGAATAAAAAAAGAAAAATGCAGCTTTAGGTTTTCATTGTCTGCAAATACCTTCATTGTTTTATCAAATAAATGTTTCTTAAATTTATATTAATGATCATTTATCTCATATAGTGGATTTTTATTTTAAAAAGTATTTGAATAAAAAGATTCTACACTTGGCCCTTGTTGCTCAGTGGTTAAGCATTAACCTATGTACCAAAAGGTCACAGTTCGATTCCAGGTCAGGGCCCATGCCTGGGTTGTAAGGTGTGATTGCCAGTATGAGACATGCAGGATACAGCTGGTTGATGTTTTTCCCACATGGATGTTTCTCTCTTACCCTCTCCCTTCCTCTTTTTCTAAAATCAGTAAAAATATTTAAGAAGATTTTTGCACCTCCCTGGTTAGTGCAGCATTATTCACAATAACCAAGACATGGTACAACCTGTGTCCATCGAAGTGTGACTAGATAAAGAAAAGGTTATGTATGTATGTCCTGCCATTTGCAACAACATGGCTGGACCTTGGGGGCATTATGTTAAGTGAACTGAGTCATACAGAGAAGGACAAAGACTGTTGACCTCACATATAGGAATCTGAAAACCAAACTCCTACAAAAAGAAATCATATTTGTAGTTGCCATGGCCAGGGGTTAGGGGGTCAGGGAAATTAGATGAAGTTGGTCAACAGTTATAAATTAAGCAAGTACTGGAATGTAATGTACAGCATGGTGACTATAATTAGTAATAGTGTACTGTATATTGGCAAGATGCTAAGAAAATAGATATTAAAAATTCTGATCACAGGGAAGAAAAAATATAACTGTGAGGTGATGAATGTTAATTAAATTTATTGTAGTTATTTCACAATATACACATTGCCAAGTAATTATGCTATATATCAAATTTATACACTATGGCAATTATATCTCAATAAAAATTGGAAGAAGAAAAGATTTAGGAAGGAACGTCTAGTTTCCTTTCCTATCATGAATGCAACTGTTAAGACATGAAGCTAACATTGCAATGTAGCTTGAGTGTAGTCACCATCCTAAGATGCTGCTTTGAAATGGGTATGATTTTGGGTCTGAACATTTTGTCTGTTTTTCTTTAACATTTGCATTTACAGGGCAAGTCAACACAGTATTCCTGGCAATATTGAGGGGGATAAGTGATTTTTTAAATAAAATCTCCAAGTTTAGAATGAAATGAAAATACATTTTATCAGTATAGAAAGTTATTTTGAAATCATTTTGTTCAAAGATTGGTGCCAACTGTCAAGGTTAATTTTGTTCAACAGATGTTAGTCATCTCTGAATTAGTGTGCGGATTTAATACAATTTCAATCAGAGGTCCAACGGCATTGTTTTTAAGTTTAACAACATAATTGTAAATGTTATGCGATTACAAAACAGAAGTGCTGTTAATATTTATTTCAAAGAATAAAATAATTGACATAATGCAGGAATAGAGATATAGACCCATAGAACAAAACACAGAGCCCAAGAAAAAGCACAAGTTTGGGTAAGATTTCGGCCACAATAAACATGACATTTCAAGTCTTGGAAAACTGGAATTATGCAAATAAGAAGGCAACTATCTGAAAAAGGAAATTAGATCCCTGCCTCATGTCATTCACCAAAGCCAAGCCCATATGGACGAAAGGTTAATGTTACAAATAAAAAACGAGGTGAACATATAGACCAACATATTTCTGACTGGAGACCTCGAGAAGCCGATAAGCAGTGCACCAGCATGTCCCTCAAACCTGGGCAGGTGGAGAATGATCAGCCTGACAGGGGTCAGGGGCAGAGCCCCAGCTGCCAGCAGACCCCCTGGTTAGAGCGCGGCCAGGCCACGCCCCTTTCCTTTCGGCTAAGGCTCCGCCCAGGGCCGAGGCCCCGCCCAGCGGCCCGCGATTGACCCGCCCGCTGAAGCGTCACTTCCGCCCGGGCGCGGCCCAGGCCGTGCGCAGCTGTAGTTCCACCTTCCAGGTGTTGTAACTCTGAGGGTTGCTGGGTTTTGTAAGTCTGAGGGTTGCTGGTGGGGCGACGCCCTTCGTTTTCCCTGCTCACCCCCCGAAAATGACGGCTTCTCGCCGGCCGCGAACGGCACCTCCTCGCCGTCCCTGCTCTTCTTGGAGCTCCGCTGGGATCCTGCTGGTGACCCTAGCGCTCCGGTTTCCCGCACCCACCGGTAGGGGCCTGGGGAGGGGTGCGCTCCGGGAGCGGGCTGCAGCGGCTTGGGGAGCCGGCCGCCTGGAAACACTCTAAGTTTTGGGGAACTCGGAGTCATCTGCGGACTTTCAATTGGGGGCGGGGGGTCCTGAACCGAACCGCCACATTGTTCAAGGGTCAATTGTGGAGTTAAAGTAATGCTAAGAAAGCAGATTTTCAAAGTAATACCATTTTATTTTAAATGGCGTTTACTCACTTGTAAAAATGCTCACTTCGCTAATATGAAGTCTTATATTTTGAACTAGTTTAGTCCATATTATTTCTATCTGTGAAATCCCAATACTTAAATAATAATTACCTCTGCCCATAGCATGTCTTGAGCACCCACTGGGTGCAGAGAGTAGCAGGAAAAGAAGGCAGATGACCCTGACCTCTAGGAACTTGCCTCCTGAGTGAGGTGACAAATCACCATCAGTTTGCATTTCAGACTGTGGATGAGGACCTGATCTAGGGCTGCATACTGACAATGTCCTAGACCAGAGGTGGGCAACCTTTTTGTGAGTGCCTGCTAAAACCAGCAAAAAAATCTGACTCAAATTCTTCTGCGTGCCAACCCTAATTTTTTGAGAACATGTTATGCCTACTTGATATCTCTTAAGGTGAATGTATGTGAAGAACCTTGAAGAAATAATAAAATTCATTCGAGCAACAAAAACACAGTATATGATGATGAAAAATACATTTATTTTTTTAATGTATAATGTACACTAATAGTCCGACAGAAAACTTTATGACTCCCTTTGATATTATCAGTGGGACTTTTGCTGCTGCATCACTGATGACAGAGATTTTACATCAGGTTTATATTTCGTGACCTTCAGAGATATGCATGAGCTACTACTTTCATCCGTCAGGCTACTCCTATTACGAGATTTAATAAAATTCATCACTGAGAACAAAGATTCACAAATGTATGTGGATGAAAACATGGAGAGGAACGCTGTTGCAAAGTTTTTTAAACAGAAAAAATTTTCTGAAATGGCATTCCAAGTCCTCAATAGTACGTTTTCAACACTATTGAAATTGCTCTTCCCCTCTCTCGTCAATCCATGTCTATGGTCTTTAAGATAACTTGTTATGTAAAATTATTAATTTATCTAAGATGCACCTACACTGAATTTATCTGAAAAATAAAAAAGTCGATATTAGGAAAAAAATTGTAAATGGAAAATTAGAAGAGAGGATTTTGCGTGCCAGCAAAAGTTACTGGCATGCCATGTTTGGCACGCGTGCCAGGGTTTGCCCACTCCTGTCCTAGAGCTAGGGGACAGGTGAGTGTGAAATGAACTGAGAAAAACTGGGAAAGGACGCACACCGATAAGTACATTGAAAACCAAGACTAATGCTGCTGTATCTTTAATTTACTGTTGAATGAATGTTCACCTTATTCCTTAAGAAACCATAAGCTCACCAAGGACCTGCCTGCTGCCAGGCTAGAATCCGTGGCTGGTGGAAAAGAGAAAATACTTGACTTTCATGTCTTATTCTCTCATGCCCAGATGCCTGTGATGAGATACCAAGATATGAATCTATGAAAGCCAAGGGTAATCCTGTGCCCCCTGTAAGTCCTGGGTTCGCAGTAGAATATGAGTGTCGCCCAGGATACAGGCTTATTGTTCCTCTTGTTCGTCCCACCACCACTGTTTGTCAGCCTGATGGCACATGGGCACCTCCTCGTCTCCAGGAGGCTTGTACAAGTAAGTACACAAAACTTTTTATTTTTATTGCTCTAAAGATTTTCATACATTTTAGATGGCATATTCTGCTACTACAATGATGGTTTTCTCACGTGGAGGTAGGTTTTAGATCAGCCGTGGGCAAACTACGTCCCGCGGGCCGGATCCAGCCCGTTTGAAATGAATAAAACTAAAAAAAAAAAAGACCGTACCCTTTTATGTAATGATGTTTACTTTGAATTTATATATTAGTTCACGCAAACACTCCATCCATGCTTTTGTTCCGGCCCTCCGGTCCAGTTTAAGAACCCATTGTGGCCCTCGAGTCAAAAAGTTTGCCCACCCCTGTTTTAGATAGTCATGTATTTTTTCAAGCTTTGAAAAATTTCCAGGTAATCTTTTTCTTGTTAGTTGTCTGGGTAAATGTGAATCATAAGTTTGGCCTTTTAATAGTTAAAGGAAGAAAAGTAGTATTCCCACAGTAGAGCAACGTAGAATTTTGGTTTTGATTCAGATCTGTTTTGGAGTTTGTATTAATCAACGAATTTAAAAAATTTCTTTCAGGAAAATCATGTCCACAGCGAGCAGAGCCCCTAAATGGCCGCCTAGAAGGAAATTTTCAGTTTGGTTCACAGGCTAACTACTCCTGTAATGAGGGGTAAGTAGAGGAAATAGGTAAATGTTACTACTACTATTTTTGTTTTGCTTCTCTTCTAAGTATTCCCATAATGTTGATTTAATTTTGCTTTGTGTGTGAGAAGTTGTACTTATAGCCAGTCAACTCTTGGGCTTCTTACAGAGATGGAAAAGATGTGTAATGAATAGATAGGAATTTCCATTGAAGTAAAGCAGAACTGTATACTATCCTATCTAATAAAAGAGAAACATGGTAATTAGCCGTACATCCGCTACCCTTCCCATTGGCTAATCAGGGCGATATGCAAATTAACTGCCAGCCAAGATGGCGGCCAGCAGCCATGCACTGAAGCAAACACGGAGGCTTGCTTGCTCCAGTGACAGCGGACTCCAACGTTCCCCCCCTGACTTGCCGGCCTCTCAGCTGCAATTCTAAGCAACTATGTTGCAAATATAGAAGCTAAACAAAACCCCAGAAACCTGCTTTAGTCAGCCAGGCTTCAGCCAGCAGGACCGCAACATTGTATCAAATACAGAAGGTAAACAAAGGCCAGAAACCCGCTTTCAGCAGCCGAAGCCTCAGAGCTAAAGCTGGCCCAGAATTAAAAAAAAAAGAAAAAGAAAAAAAGGAGCAGTTGGGGAGCTTCAGTCACCCGCCAGCCTGAAAACGGCCCTCAGCCTCTCAGCCAGACTGGCCAGGCACCCCAGTGGGGACCCCCACCCTGAAGGGGGTGTGACCAGATGCAAACAGCCATCATCCCCTCATCCAGGCTGGCCAGGCACCCCAGTGGGGACCCCCACCCTGATCCAGGACACCCTTCAGGCAAACCAGCTGGCTCCCACCCGTGCACCAG